AGAACCACAGAAAAAATCATCCACAAACAGCTAATAACATTTTTATTTTCGGCTAGTCTGATTAGCTTATCCCAACACAGATTTATGCCTGAACGCTCATGCTTCATATCGAACCTGGAATTTTTTGACCAAATTACCCTGAGAAGAGATGTTCTTCAGTCAAAGATAATTCTTTACTTCGATTTTAGTAAGGCTTTCGACAGTGTCTCACACAAACGTCTTCTTCTAGACTCTCTTCATGTGGCATACAGAATCCTTTTTTTTTCTTGGCTCAAATCCTTTTTACAAGAACGTGGCCAACTCATACTCTTTGGATCTTGCTACTCTAAACCTGTGGATGTAACCAGTGGGGTTATACAAGGAAGTGTGATTTGTCCATTACGCTTTCTCCTTTTATCAGTCACGTGTGTTCCCTCTTTCAGTATGGTAAACCTTTCCTTTTTGCCAATGACCTGAAAGTAGTTTAGTCATTCTCTTCACTAACAAAATGAACTGTTTGGTGGATTTGCCACTTAGTGTTGACAAAAGTGGATTTGCTCACATTGGCCACTGCCTTAACCTAAATCTGGCTATACACAAAAATACGCTGAAACCTAACAACACTGATCGTGATTCGGGTTTAAGATATAGCAAGAGTTTGAGCTACTCAACCATGCGAAACGGACTGCCAGTGAACCTCCGTTGCAGTGAACCTCAAACCCGGTTCAGAAATCTCCTTGATTATTTTCTTTCCGAAATTGGGTTGTGCCACCTACTGAATATCAGTGTGTTTAATAATGATTTATACAAGCAAGGTTCGTCATCCAATCGACTGAAAATCAAAATGTAACCTTTGAAAATTTTCACGTCTATTTTATTTCTATTCATCTTAATATATGAAGCCTGCTTATGTTCGTATTTATAATTATTACTGTTAATAATATCATTATTGGTCCCTCGACACATTACATATTCTCTTTATTTCTTCTTATCCTTCTAAACATATATTATTCCTATACATCCAAAGTCTATAGCTAAAAACAAATTATCGCACGGTACACTCAAGTAAACTAACTTCTCAGATTCATTTTATCGTCATCACATATATGTAACACATGGAAATTTATGTTTGATTATCCTTTGGAACTAATTGCGACTTTCATAAAATCATTCTTAATACTAATATCTGGTTTCACTCTGTATACCATTACATAAGTCTATATGTACTTATTCGAATCCAGTAGAGGATTTTTTGGATCTTATTTTATTTTTAATTTTTTGTTTACTTCGAAGGTCGATATTTATTGTACAATTATTATTATTATCATGGTTTAACCCTTTCACTAGGTGTCCATTTCTATTCTGTCTCTTCTTTTTAAATAAATATTATTCTTAAGATGGCACGTAAATTAACTTCTCAGACTCGTTTTATATTCACTATGCATATATGACTCATATATATTGATATCTGGTTATCCTTCTCACTTAATTGTGACTTTTATAGCATCACTCCAAAATATGACTGCACAAACACTTATTATAGCGTCATATCTTACCGCAATAATAAGTTGTTTCTTCTTAATTCACTTGATATTGTTTTACTTGAATCTTCCCATTGATGTTTTTGGACTGAAATTGATCAGTCTCGAAACGCGCGTCCTGGATTCCACTGCTAGCCACTATCCATCTTTGCTTATAATGCTTGTAAATTGAGGCAATATCGAGGCATACGCACAGTATGCACATATGCCAATAACAGACTGATCAATTTCGGTCCAGAAACATCAATGGGAAGATTCAAGTAAAACAATATCAAGTGAATTAAACTTCAACCCATTGCACAAGCAAGTGGCTATCAGGACTCAGTAGCTAAGTGGATAACGCGATGGCGTTTGAAGCGAACGGTACTGAGTTCGAGTCCCAGAGTGAACATCAACTCTGAGATGCAGGTACATCCAGCTGACGAGTCCCAAACAGGACGAAACGCACATCCTGGATTCCACTGTTAGCCACTATCCATCTTTGCTCATAATTGTTTCTTCTTAATTATATATTTTATTTTTTTACTAATATGACGATACATACATAGTTGTTTATTCTTGTTCTATGTTCATAAACACGCCTATTAAACCATTTGCTTATTTCACGTCTCCTTGATTTCCATTTTCTTATTTTCGTCATTCCTTCTTTAAACTCAATTCCATATTCTTCTCAATTACACAAACCCGATTTATGATTATTATTATTCCATTTTTATTATTCTCTTTTTCAAATATGGCAAATATAATGCTAACATTATTGAAAATTGTGTATTAATGGATTTTTGAAGAAACCCGAAATGGTTTCTTCACGACATGTATATACACATAAGATGTTTGTGAGTAATAATCATAATAATGACAATAAAAAACCACAGACGTCTCTGAGAAGCTGGGGTTAGATTAAAAATAAATCGCAAATGTTGGTTTTCGTTTTGGTTATACTGTATTTTCCGCTTAATTTCTTGCCCTCATTACTTGTATAATACCTCCATCCTCATTACTATTCAAGCTTTCTTATTATTTAAATTCTGTTTTCCTTCAAACTCATTTACTTCTGGAATAATGTTATATTGAGCAAACAGTTTGAGCCAACCGTATTCAACTCCATGATGATCAAATAGCGTTGATGTTCACAATAAACTTATCCTAATTAAACCAGTATATCTTCTGTCGAATAATCATGTGAATTTGACGTAGAAATAAGATGAAATCCGAGGTAATTCAAGATGTGCATGTTTTTCAGTGAATGTGTTCGGTAGACAAACGAAAAGAAATAGATGCGAAGTCGAGTGGCAGTAATGACTTACTGAGTAATTAAAGGATGACTCTGTTTTAGTGTAAGTTGAATAATGCATAAATTACAGGTAGCATGTACAGACAACAGACATATGAGACAAGTATACATAAAACAAACATGAATGTAATTACTAAAGCTATAAACAGCTTAAGCACATAGAAAGTTCATAAAACCCCTGACTGGCTTAGAATGGCACATACGCATGATGAAGCAGCGTGCAGGTTAAATTGTTAGCTGAAAAGTGGATAAAAGAAGAGCTGATAGGAATTCTGAAATGCCAAATGGTTAGAAGATTCTAACGTGGTATTCATGCAGCAGACAACAACTGCTGAAATGCGCCACAGGTGTTCGGAGCTCAACAACTTTTTAACAAGTAACACTCTTATAATCGAAGTATACCAATCCAGTGAAATCAGAGGTCAGTAATGAAGAGGTTAGAAGATATAATTGTAAAGCTATCGATATACGAAGAGGTTGGTTAATAGTTGCAAGGGATGCGTAGCACGTCGTACCAACTCATGACCTGTTGCGGTTAGGTGATTTGTGGGATTTATTTACCACTACGTGTTAATTTCGAGGTGCTGGAAACGTTGCTGAAAAAATTATATTCAGTCAATAATATGCAAACTCTCAATAGACAGATGGATACTTTGGACGGTAGTTTTGTTAATAAGTGTAGGGCGTCCGTTGTTTCGATCGCGGAATCAGCAATTTTAATGAATAATCAATGATTTCATATAGGGTATAAAATCCAAAGTAAATTCTGTCAGTAATAACTCAGTAACGAGGACTCAACTGTTATCATCAAACATTTATGACAGTTATTTTAGTGATCATTCAATATTACAGCCTATTAAATGGGAATAAGCAGTGTAGATGCCGTAATGCGATTGTCAGTGATAATTAGTGACAACTGTAGCGTGGCGTCGAGTCGGGATCGACTATGAACACCGCTACCAAAAAACACCTGCCAAGTAAATCAGAAGGCGAAGGTTGAACGTAACTAAATAAATCCATAAAATCCCCGAGAAGCCAAATATCAGAAGGCAATTAATAGACCAAATCGAGATATATTCGCTGGCGATCTCGTGGCATCGAAGGGATACCGAGATCATGCCAGGATAGAAGCTTAGTTACAGAACGTAACCAAATTCGCGCGAAGTTACAATCAAAGTGAGTGTATATGAATGGAAGCACAAATAGCTGTCATTAGCACAGTCAAACAAAACCACACTAAAACAAACACTGGTACAGTTGGCTATGATAATAATTATTTTTATTAAACCAGTCGTGTTCTCGTGATAAGTGTGAGTCACTACACAACCATGCAGAAAACAGACTGTCAACGATTATGTCATTTACAAAGTCTAAACAACAGTTTTGTAGACAAGGGGTGTGTGAAGTAGGGGAAATGACGAAACATGCGAGTAATACCAAAAATTATTCACTCGATAGGACAATGTTAATCATTTTCATTGTTCTGTCCTTTAGAGTTAACGGCGACCTAGGGTGATTTTCCGGTTCACGCTACCACAATCCATTACATAAGTCCCTTAAAGGTCACTTTAGCAAATAAGAAGACAGTCATCAGTTCCGCTTTCCCAAACTAGGGAATACCAAAGGGAAGACGACATTTGTTTTTTAATTCCCTCACATGCGATGAGATGTCGTTTTTTTACACCAGCACTTTACTCGTAATAATATTATGTGTGTCATAAATATTATATATCTATCACTTAATACTCCATTTTTTGCCCATTATCTATTTTGAACCCATATGGATATGAAACAATTATTTACTAAGCTACGAAGCCGCTTTATTTGAGATTCACGTTGCGGATATGGGTGTGTCGTTCCTGTATCGTCCCAAAACCCAACGGTTCTTTAAATGCTGTGTTTATGCACTAGGGTATATTTTATTGTTCATAACATTCTTTTTGTTCTTAGTGCTTCTGCCTTCTTGGTTGGAGGTCGATGGGCTCTTGCTGACACCAGCATTGTGGGCCTAAGTAAAAAATGCTTCTCCGTTTCCTGCGCTAGTGTACCATTTGTTACCAAGTTTCCTGAAATAAATCTAAATAACTGGATGTGCTTGCCTGTTTCTGCAGTCGACAAGTTGCAGGTAGACTTCTATAAAGTGTTAAATATTTCTGCAGTCAGGTGATGAATGTTATCGCTCAAAAATGGAAGTGTTGTGCATGGAACTCCAAGTGAGATTATCTTTCAAATGTGCTATGGTTTAGACTTTATCGTTATCAATCTATTGGTGTGTGGCGTTCATTACCCTACCTGGCGAGACTAATTTATGGGCGCGTAGTTCATCTGTACATTTGGCTAAATAGAGTTATGGCATTATAGATGGTGTCATTTCGTGATGAAAACCCTAAATCCAATTTCTAACTCTAACCATCAACTGTAAATGAGAATTCTAACTGCTTTATAACTCGTTTAGTCCTATTCAGTAGGCGTCCACTCTCAAGGCCACTTCAGCGTCGCTCAAATGTCGTCCATAAATTATAGTCTCACCGTGTAAATTTTTAATTATATCCCCTCAACGTTTGTAGAATGTCACGTTGATGTGTAGCAATCTATTTGTGACTCGCTAGTGTGCACTCGTCGTTTTTAACTCGTCTTCATATACAGTCGTTCTCTGTTTTTTGATGAAATTCTCTGCAATACACCTTGTTGATCGATATCGATAATCCCCAAAAAATTATTCGTGTGATTAAGAGTTCATTACCTAAAGATAACATGTTTGTTTTGATCCAGAATGTTTCAAAAGCTGACATTTCAATATCGCCAAATAATTATTTGGTCGATCATACTCATTTTAAACGTTTAAAGCAAATTGTGCTGACTGTTGACTAAGAAGGTCTGTATAAGCTGAAGATGTTGAAAGGACTCACTAAAAAATGATTATTAAGATAAGTTGTGACTTCCTGTCTGTCCACTATTTTTTGATGGCACCATGTAAATTTATAAAAGTTATGTAGTATTTACTTAAAGTTTTGATTAGTTTGGGTTTTAATTGCCATTGTGTATTATTTACTAATTAAAAATTGAGCTAATGTCTGTCACACAGTTAGATAATCACAGATAAATTCTACGTGACTGAATTTCATAACGTGTAATAAGCAGTTACTCATACAGACTGATTTTTATGTTTTGGTAGTTAGTTATATACTAAACGTTTTATTTGTTTTTTTTAAAAATCTTTTAGATAACAGACAAGTTGCTAGGGTTATTTGGACATATGCATGAATTATTTACTTTTCTTTTGTTGCCTGCCTAAGTTTTGACCTTACGTAGATTTAGTTTTCAGCATTGTCACTGTAATAAAAACTAAAAAGTTTAAATTATGATTGGTGATGACTCTGGTGCTCTGATTCTTTCATATGTGAACGTTATTCACATCATTATCTGTAATCTGAAATGTGTTCTTAATCTATTGTAAATTTCGTTAACTCATAAATCTCACTCCTATATTCATGTCTGTCTTATTTTTATTAAAACAGCTTATTGTTACAATCTCTTTTGAGGAATTAGTCGGTTGTAAGACGTTTGGACTTGAATACAGTTACACTTTTGAAAGATGTATTCATTTAATTTGTGCTTCGTTTAATTGTTTATTTCTAATCATTCTCTTCTAATCTCTTTTTAACTGCTCCTCCTTGAGTTTTGTATACTTGTCTGCTTATTCTTTATTCAAGGGTCGCTTGTGTAAGGAAGTTGAAAAGATTGATGGGAAAGCCAAGTTCAAAGTGGACAAATGGGAACGTCGTGCTGTAAGTTATGATATTCCGTTTTCCATTTTCAAGCTTAGTTTATATCCAACTCATTTACCGGGTAAAGGCCTGTGAACTTAAGTTTGACATTTACCGGTTGTTCAAACCGTAATAGGCGGAGAACCATTTCTTACCTAAAACTCATTGAGTGATTTCCACACCCTTAAGTAGCAAACCGGAATTCACTATACAGTCGTCAGTCGGTGAAGATCCATGCACTTCGTTTTTGAGTCCCACTTTTCTGTACATATGTAAGTTAGTAATACCAACCAACTGATTGCCTAGACCAAACTGAATAGAGTTGAATAAGTGCCTGTAATTCAGTAATCAAAAACCAAATGCTTTAGACTGCTAATCCGACGTTCCACTTGTTTATAAATATTGTTAAGTTTATAACTGTGTTGATTAACCTCTGAGTTTTTCAAACTCAACTCATAAATCATGTCAGGTGAATACAGAACACAGAGCAGAAACTGTGATTCCAGTGCATATTATAGAAGAGATCATTAAAATACACCATAAATGTAAAATTCATATTCAACAGGAAAATATGTGGACAAATAGGTGTCGCAATAGTTTCATCATTGTGTCTCATATTAGCTGGCTTTTTTCTAGATAAGCTAGAGAATGGTTCACTGGAAAATTTTGCTGCCGAAATGTGAATTCTGTGTTGATCCTTTGTAAAGACTATATTGACCTGGTAGGCATTCAAAGATTTGGTGAAGTTCACCCTCCTCCTAAATTTACATGTGGGAAAAAATAGGTGCATAATAACCCTTCTAAGTGTCCTACTTACAGAGAGAGTAAATGGGTCATTATAAAGGAACTTGAACAAGAGAACTACTTGGATGGAGGAGTAAACAAGTTTCGCTAGTTTCGTTTCTCTACAATATAAACGAAATGTAGTTGGTGCATTTCATTATAATTGTAGAGTGAACAACTGTACTGTGTAATACCCTAAAGGAAAACAGGTACTGGAAGAGACTCATAAATGAGGATTTAGTCCTAACGGCAAGTAAAATGTCCCCGTTTATGCTGTTTATGGTACGCACTCAGAAATGTTAATGTTAAAATTGCGCAGAACAATTTAAAAAGCATTCAATGCAGGTAAACTACAATTAGTGTTTTCTACACGTTCTATGTTTACTTCGAAATTAAAAAAGTAAATTACCTGCACTAACTAGCTTTTCCTACGTCTATCAACTTATTTACTCTTGTGGAGCAAGTTATATTGATAAATGTTTCAGGAATTTGTAATTTCGTGCTCGTCAACACCCCTTCGTTGTTAAGCAGGGCTATAGTTAACATTTTGTACAAACGGGCCATACAGCCAACGCCGATCAGTCATTTACGGTGTTAATAGTTATCTGCTTAAATCCGTCAGACTGGGAATTTTACACACCGTCGAAACAATAGCTATTCAGGCTAAAAAGCCTCAGCTTTGAGTTTAGAAGAAATATGTCTGACCCTCGCCTTGGGCGACTTCAAGCCCAATAACTTACTAGTCATTTTATCGAAATAGTGATATGTTTTTAGTCTACTTACAACCTTTCTCTTTCTACATTTCCATGCTTTAAACCTACCCTTTTCACTTATATTATTATGATCATGACTCTGCTAAGCGTTTGAAAAATTGAATTAGCGATAGAATAGTGATGCCTCTGTAGTTCTCACGCTTGCTCAGATATCTTTTCTTTGGTATATTGATCAGGTGTCCTTCTTTCCAGTCTGAATTAGCACCCCACTCTAAGTTATTATCTCTCACCCAATTCATATCATTCTATATATTACGTAATTTATAGTCAATATTCATTCTGATTTGTAGTTATATTGTTGCTTCTCAGTGTTATTTATATCTACTTGTATTGTTAATCTCACGATTACAATGATTATATAAACTAGTTTAACACTATACATTAGTCATTTCAGCATTGACGTATTAGTTATTTCAATGATAACAATTCTATTTTATTTCCACCAACAATCCAAACTTTCATAAACGTTCATTTTAAATTATGTATTTGCCTTAAACCTGGCTATCCTCTTCAGGACGTTAATTTAGATTTTAATCATACGTGGTGAGAACATATTGAAAAGACTATTCTTCTAAACACCTGCTTTTTTAAACTGGATGGAGATATGGAGGAACATATGTTCTTCCCAGTAAGATGTGAATTTATTGAATTTCCTCACATTCTTACTATACTCTATATCGATGTGTGTTTAGCACTTCCTCCAACTAAACATGTTTATGTAAACAGTTTCAACCCGTTTTCTAGTTAAAATTTTTAAATATTGAAAGTTTTTGTAAGCAGCTAACAAGAACCGAACAAAATAAAATAGAATCATGTTATTCTACTTAAATCTTTGTTCTTTCTTTCTTCAAAAGGCTAGAGAGAGGTATGTTTATACATGGGATAAGTTTAAGATGCATGATTGAACCAATCAATTGATCGACATTTTTGACCAGTGTTACAAGTTTAAAACCATAATCCATTTACTTTAAGTTGGTCAACCTTATAGTATCGCCGAAATTCATACAAGAGATTTCACAGAACCTTATATGATTTTTCAAAGTTCAGCATATCTATCTGTCATGACTGTGATGCTGCAGATTTGAGGTCAGCGAATTATCGATCCAGTCATTGAGCCAACAATTCGAAGACAACTCCTCACTATTCAATGCGCGCTATCGATGTTTGAAGCTCACTATGAACGAAGATGATAATTTTTTCACACATGTGGGTATCGTCAACCGAGAATGTGAACGCTTCCGGTTGAAGTCACTTACTGAAGACCAATTTAAAGCACTCATTCTCATCTGCAGTCTTCAATCGCAGAAGTTCAGTGACATTAGAACACGTTTGCTAAGTCGATCGGACCAAAGACGTGCAAACACGTACGAACAACCTAGAATCCCGATTGGCCCTGCTTCGCTGTCTAGCCCAGCCAGTTGAGTCCAGAACGCAAGTTTCAGCCTCTGAGATATGAATCATTATATTTCAGACAGACTCTGTTTACATACCAACCAGACAAACCACATCGTACCGTAAAATAGAAAACAACATTTGTACAATATATAACAAGTGAAATAAATATTGACCAATAGGGAATGTCCATTTAAAGTCCAAGGACACTATTAGACTTAACATGATAATTATTGGTATATTTTTCCGGATATCCTAACACTATCTGTCAGTATTTTTAGTACAATTGCAAACATCCGTTGTATCCCCTCTCTCCATATATATGTACACTTTTTTTCGTAAATAGGGTGGTGGCGGAATTTCATGTGTTCTAGAGAATGGTGATGTTTTTGAAAAGGCTGGTGTAAACATCAGTGTGATAAGTGGGAACCTTAGCGCTCAAGCTGTGAAAGAAATGCGTGCAAGGTTAGCTGTTTGTTTCTCTGATCTCTTTTTCATAATTCTTCTTAATTGTATTATTGTAACAGGATTCTCTTGGTTTTTATTGTCAAATGTAAAAGTTGTTTTTTATATTCTGTGATTTCATAATAATTACTATACGGTATTGTGGAGAATGTTGGATTTGATTGTTGATCAGATAACCACTGAAGACTAGGAAATATTGAGCGACTACTTCGTTCTTATGGGAGACTTAGTTGTGCACATCCAGCATTTTATCAGAGATGAGACGTCCAGAAACTTCAAACATCGCACCAAGTGCATGCAACCTTTAGATCACTTAGCTGGCATTCAGTGGCTTGCATTTTCTAACTTTGGTCAATTGGCAATGCTAAACAACCATCAATTCTAATGAAAAGCTGTTGTCAGGGGAGCTTGACTACATGTTGGGTGTGAGATAGATTTCACTAGTGGCAACGCAGGAATGTCTTGAAATATCACGATTTGTTTAGAGTTATAAATGTAAGCCACTAGATGGTAAACCAGTGATCTGAAGGCTAGGCTAAAGTGCTTGGGTTCAAACCTTATTGGAGCTGCGGGTACTCATTGCAGGGGAGTTTCATGCAAAGACGAGATATCCGTCCAATGTTTCCTGGCTTTCAATGTTTGTTTAACATAGGTTGGTTTGATGTGTGAAACTTTGGTTTTCGGAGGTGGAGGAGGCAGTGTACAGTTCTGTTCCACACCTCAAACTTTGGAAAATACTAAAGTAAATTCTCAGCCAACTTCAGGAAAAATTCAGTTTATTTTTAATATGAAACGCCTATTTAACAACGGACTCAGTAGTAGTGGTAAGCCTTATTGCTTTTATACATGAAATTCTCGACTCTCGTTATTGAATGAACTTATTTATTCTGCTAACTTCATGGATACTTATCCATGATAATATCGCATACTTTTAGAGTAATCTCTGCAAGAATGTTTTCCACTGGTTTTACATATTAATTAGTTTCTTTATCTCTGCATCGCATGCTCCCATTTTCAAATCCATATACCCTTACATTTATGCGTCTTTTTACAGAAGCATGTTAAATGTATCCATTTAGTTATGAGTGACATTGAACCTGCCACATATATATGCATTGCTTCAAGTTACCACATCGCATCAACAAAGAGTAATCAAATTATTAAGACAAATACAAGAGTAGTAGAAGTGATAGTAGTATCGGTGATAATAATATTATTCGAGAAGAACAATCAACTTGTGCAATGAAAGGTGTGAGTATTTTGACGTCAAAGAATCAGTACATCCAAGCTGTGCGACTGATTCTGAGATATGTTGTTCAACGTCTCGTATAATTGGCTACGATAGTCATGTAATGTCGGTTACTATGTTAAGCCCATATAATAATTTATTCTAGCTTCTGGACAGGTCAATTTATCAGTTCTTGTTGAGTCACGTTTTGACCTTGTTAATTATTCACTTATCAATCTTGACTGTTTTTATGTAAGCGTATATGTGTGCCCTTTTTATTCCATTCATCACATGTCTGCAACTTATTTTTGTGTGACTATAAATATTGATTAACACTTGGTTAAATGGAGTCGGCCCATTTGCCTTCTCCATTGCGCATCCTTTAGTTTCACTTTTGATTCCCTCTCTCTTCTTCGCTTCGTTCGCTGCGATTCTCTGATTGTCTGTTCCGATCAACGATCGTGCAAAATATACGTGTTCGAAATTCATTCTCATATTTGACTTATTTAATTCCGTTATTCACTAACGCGTATTAAGTCGATAGTCAGGATGTATTTATCGACAGCAATCATTCACACGATCTAATTGGAGTCAGATATAAGACCACTAAAATCATATTTAATTCAAGCAGATGATTTACATGTAATTGGATACAGTGGATGTGTTCAGACTAACACTTATTATTATAATGCAATTTTTGAATACCTAACTACAGTTTTATTTCCATTCTAATATATGTAATTTGTTTCCAAATAGGTAGCGTAGATTATATCTGTAAGTTGAAAATAAATTTTAGTTTACTTTTAGGGTTAGGTGTTAAAATTTTCTGATTAGTTACAATACAATGGTAGTTTTTGTCTCAGATGTGCAACAACTATGGAGTAGTAAACAACTGTATCTCTTCTTTGTTTTGGGCCAACTTTTTGATACACATCCACATAGAATGAAACTTAGGAATAAACAGTAATCATATGTTGAGTAGTAGCAATTGACTTCAAGATTACCAATATTTTGGTAATAAGAAGTCATGATAGATAGAGTTCAATGAGACAGTTATCATTAATTACATTTGATAATGACCAATTAGTGGCATGATTAAGGTTGATAATGTACCACTGAATCACATCTCAATGATTGAGACATTTAAATACGCTTACCACTAAATCTAAAGATTCTTAGTTTGATCTCTGATGAAGGTTTATTAGTGTGTACTGCCAAGGAGTTTCGAACGCGGTGATCCAATAGCTGCCCAATATTACCTGTCTCAATAAAATCTGAAATAACATCAACCAGTAAATCGAAAATCCCATTTTTTCGGTTTTACGTATATTAAACTGTTAGTGAACATAATCTTTTTCTCTTTTTTTTCTATAGACATAATGAAATTGATCCTAATAAAGAGTGCAAATTTTTCGCTTGTGGTATCAGTTCAGTTATTCATCCAGTAAGTTTATTTTCGAAAAACGTTTTCCTTTTCGCATTAAAGTAACTTCATTTAGATATCCTGAATTGTATTTCCGTATCAGACACCGTTTCTACTTATGTTGAAACTGCCCTCAAATGCCGTGGTACGTTCGAGAGTGGGGAAAGTCAGCTCTTCCTCTCCAAATGCTCTCATATGGCTACGTACATACAATCATTGCCACGGAAGTCCTACTCACTACCTTCTCGCGGCGAGGGTTTTGTTTACAGAATTGAGAGGACGAAAAGCGAACGTCCAACGCCTTAACCGGGTTGGTGGATATGGAGGATCCACCTAGAGAAGTCGGAAAACTCTCGTTCCAGACCAATGGTGCACATGGGCTACAGAATCCTAAGGAAACAAGAGGCTTGGATTTTGTTGATGTCACGAGTCAATGCGAACTTGAGAAACACTGAACGATCGTTTCAGGTGTTTGCGGATCAGACTATAAGTCTTGGTTTTGATTCCCGTCTGTGGGACTATGGATGCTCAATGGTAAAGAGTTTTACACTAAGACGAAGTGGCTGTCTAGGTTTTAATCGTTTTCTGAGATCGGCTCGTGATATCAATGTGATTCAACAGTCTCCACAACCTTTTACTGATAGTTATCATTCGCCCACTAGTGGCTATCTCCGAGAGAAAGTTCTCGGAGTTCTATTGAGAATTCATGAACATTGTAGTTTAACCGTATCGGATGTTAGGGATTTATCCACCACTGGTAATGAAGGCTGATCGCTCAGTACCATGGATTAGTCGAAATCTGGGCGCGAGTTCGAAGGTCCTGGATTGGTTTGATTTTCTGGTTGTGGGGTCGTGGATGCCCACTGCTGAGAACTATCACTATTTGATGTCTCTTCTTACCGGTGGTTCTACTTTTTTCCATTTCCAAGCTTAATCCATATGTCCCTACAACACACTTTAATTTTCGTTACTTCGAAGTTGATTTGGGTAACAATCGTAAATGTTGGTGGTATGGCGGCGGAGCAGATCTAACTCCATACTACTTATTTAATGAAGATGCTAAACACTTTCATGAGCAGTTAAAATTGGCTTGTGATCAACATAACGAATCGTTTTATCCACGTTTTAAAAAATGGTGTGATGATTATTTCTATCTGACACATCGAGGTAAGTGTTATTTTTTTTAAAGCAAATATTTACTGATGCTTGTTACAAACATATCAGTAGTATGATAAGGACTTATCACTAACAGTAAGAATTATTTAGAACTGATAATGCGCAACATTGAATTTTGATTTCAGTATTACTTCAGGACTGGTCTGTATCAACGCCTAAACTAATGATAAGGAGTGAATTAGTAGTTTAGCACACTGACACCATTAAGCTTATCTTAAAAGTCTCATAAACCTTGAATGGTTGGTGTCTGATGAAGTATCGACACAGACTTAGGAAGGTCGGCTGGAGTTTCTCAACTTTCTTCACTTATGGTGTAGGCGAAATGTCTGTCTTGCCAGCGAATAGAAAATACACTGCATGATAATTCATGGTATTCTAATTTATTGTATGGAAATGTGATCTTTAGAAATAAAGGATATTCGTAGGTCACTAGTCAGTCAGTCAGCTACAACATAGGACCAGGCACATATATGCATCGGTCCAAGTTACCGTACCTCATTAGCATGACAAGAAGAACACAAAATTCATAGAAGTAGTCATTTCGATGGTGGTAATATATAAAAGAAAGATTGAATATATGGACATAGTACAGGAAGAAAGATTTAGTACATAGAAAAGAAGAAATGAAGCGATTTTAATCTCTTAGTTTAAGTGAAGACAGTGAGTGTATACACCTACACCATTGTGATCGATTCTGAGCCATGATCATCATTCTCATGTCTGTCTACATTTCTCGGAGTAATGTGTTCTTTGGACTTCTTCTCCAACCATTGGTTACGATAGTCAGGCGGACCACAAACAAGTAGTCTGCATCTACCAACATGGCTCAGACCAGAACTTAGTGACTTCAAGCACTGATGCCACGTTTTGGTTTGGCCGCCCCTAACTTGCTTCCAACGATCCCCAACACCAGTTGGCATTGCACGTCGTGGTAATCGGTGTTCAGGCATACGCAACACAACACGTGACCCAACCATATCAGTCGATGAAGATTCACAGCCTCATCAACTGATATACCATCACTCCCTAATACCCTGCGCTTCTAGCCTCACTAATACTTACCCGTTGATTCCAGCAGATGCCAGCAATATTTCTAAGGTATCTGTGATCAAATACTTGTAGCTTACAAGTATCTTCAACTCTTAATGGCCATGTTTCGCAACCTTAAAGTAGAACGAAACAAATTGCCGCACAATATACTCGTCCTTTTATTAATAGACGGATATCTCGCCTTCGCCATAGGTGACGTAAGTTGGCAAAAACCTAATGAGCTTTCTGAATCCGTGCTGAGATTTCGTCAGACACCAACACATTAGGGCTGATCAGACTTCCAAGATAAGTGAAGTTGTCAACGCGTTCGACTACTTCACTCCCTATCCTTGGTTCATGTGTTGACGCAGATCAGTCCCGGAGCAACCACTTTCATTTAAAAGGGGAGAAACGCATCCCAAAAATTCTGGCATCGTCGCCCAGTGCTACGAAGAGACTCTGCATTTTATCAGCGTCTTCACTAAACGGGACTATATCATCTGCGTATCCTAAGCCGATAGGTGGACCTCCTGATAGGGGATCAATGCCCGAAAATCCAGTCGACGAGAGCGTTATTTCCAGCAGTAGGTCTATGATGAAGTTAAACAAAAATGGAGATAATGGACAGCCTTGACGGATACTACTTGAGGTTGCAAAATCAAATGACAGTTCACCATAAGCTCTAACTGGACTAGTAGTGTTCGAGTAATGAGCCTTCACAAGGTTTATGTACTCCTGAGGTACACCCTTCACTGCCACAGAACCTCTCGGTGTACAAGGTCAAATGCTGCTTTTAGATCAATAAATATCATTGTCGGACGCCGATGAGCATGCCTGTGCTCTAAAAACTGACGTGACGTATAGTGAATATGTGGTCGATACAAACACACTACTAGATCTGAAGCCAGTCTAAGTTTCTCGTGTTTGCAGTTCACGAGTCTTAGTTAGTGTTGTGTCTTGTGGACTGCAGATTAGAGCGAAGCGTATTTATTGATCGGACCAAAGACGCGTAAACACGTAAGAACAACCTAGAGTCCTACTACTATTTCATCTATCTCCACAATACATCCTACTCCTCCGAATGATTGGTGTACACGTGTCATTTTAATTGCACATATGTCACGGCAATACTCATACCACCCCAAGCTCCCAAATTTGAGGAAATCCCCAAAGTTTGAGGAAGTTTCGGGGGTTTTGTGCTATTTCCCCTAAATTTACTATAGTGGCTTCCCCGAAATGGGCCAAATTTTCCCCGAAATTGGCAGCCCGGGACTGGACTGATGAAGTTTCAGTAACATCTGCAAACGCCGCAGCCAGTGTTACTGGTGTCTTTATGATCCAATTTGCAACTATTATCATGATCTGCCTCAGTTTCAGTCGCGATCGAGCGAAGAAAGTCCCCGTTCGAGAAGACTTTTTCATCCAACATGAAGAACAACGAAATACAATCTCATCACAGTAGTCTGCACACTTTGCTGCAGTCATTTGATAACCGCAGTCACAGGTACAGGAACTTCTTAGTAGTCTCATCTCTTGTAGCCTCTCAATAATCACCTCTTCTCTAAAATCCGCTGTAAACCGATCGTATATGAGCATCCGGTGTTGTACTTGGCTCCGTGACCTTGAAATTGCTCAAACGCTTCTGATTGGCTCGTCCATAAATTAAAGTCTCACTCGCTTCGCTCTAATCTGCAGACACAGTCACAACAATTGGCGACGGGGTAAAAAAACAAAATCCAAGGTCAGCCTGTAATTGGACGAAATTCAGTCTAATTATTTCGAGCAGTCAGCATTTAGATTGGTCGTCGGTGTCCTTGGAAGACATTGGTTGTTAACAAATTTCTATCTCTCCCGACCAATTACAGTTGCTACTTGAGCGACAACAGCAGCGTTTCAAAAATAGCCAGTTGAATATTTTGGACAACTTACGCACACGGCTGCTAAACCATCCATGTTTTGGAGATGCGACAGAGGTTGATAAGTTAATTTCTCATCTGCATACCGAGCTGGAAAATAACTGCAGAACATATGAAGGTGTCTGTATAAGCCTCTATGAATCCTTTACGAGCAGTGATGTAAGCGAAGCAGTCATTCAAGATCCGCCCGGTGGTCCAGTACTCTCCATTCTAGAAACATGCCCTGTCATGGATTCAAACTCCACTATTCCCGAAATGGCATGTACAAACAGTGACGTATCCAGCTCACAAGAAGATCCCCTCGTTCTGCCAGAAAATATGTCATATGCATCAAATAATAATCAATAACCTGGTGCAGTTTTGTTGAACGCTGATTATCATAGTGATCCACTATCTACTAGTGAGGTTCTCCATAAATTTGGTCACAATATTTCAAAAGAATCAAACTTCGATCACCTCATATCAAGTGTCGTTCAGCCTCACCACTCAGTCACTTCCAGTCGATCCTCTGTTCAGTGCGACAAATATATCTTCAATAAATTCAAATTAATTGTGACTTTGGCTTATGAGGATCCAACACTGTTTCGCGGGGGATGATGGACTCGAAAATTTAAAATCCAGATATCAACTCCGGATCTTCAAAAAAGGGGAGGTGTTGTATTCCGAGTAATGGTAATTTTTGAGATGCATTTATGGACCAATATTATGATTATATTTTTATCGTATAATTGTTATGTAACTAAACTGTTCATATTCATGTCCCTCTTATTGTGAGCTTTATTTTGACCTATGAACTATTATTATACGATTTTCCATTCATGAATTATTCCCTGTTTGTTAATCGCTACCTCCCTCATTCACGGCCACATCTGGCTAATTCTTGTACAATGTCGTTTCATATTTTATTGGTACGTTGTGGTCGGTTTGATTGGTATATAAACTCAGTATGCTTGAAATATAATGATTCATATCTCAGAGGCTGAGACCTGCGTTCTGGACTCAACTGGCTGGGCTAGACAGGGAAGCAGGACCAGTCAGGACTCTAGGTTGTTCTTACGTGTTTACGCGTCTTTGGTCCGATCAATAAATACGCTTCGCTCTAATCTGCAGTCCACAAGACACAACACTAACTAAGACTCGTGAACTGCAAACACGAGAAACTTAGACTGGCTTCAGATCTAGTAGTGTGTTTGTATCGACCACATATTCACTATACGTCACGTCAGTTTTTAGAGCACAGGCATGCTCATCGGCGTCCGACAATGATATTTATTGATCTAAAAGCAGCATTTGACCTTGTACACCGAGAGGTTCTGTGGCAGTGAAGGGTGTACCTCAGGAGTACATAAACCTTGTGAAGGCTCATTACTCGAACACTACTAGTCCAGTTAGAGCTTATGGTGAACTGTCATTTGATTTTGCAACCTCAAGTAGTATCCGTCAAGGCTGTCCATTATCTCCATTTTTGTTTAACTTCATCATAGACCTACTGCTGGAAATAACGCTCTCGTCGACTGGATTTTCGGGCATTGATCCCCTATCAGGAGGTCCACCTATCGGCTTAGGATACGCAGATGATATAGTCCCGTTTAGTGAAGACGCTGATAAAATGCAGAGTCTCTTCGTAGCACTGGGCGACGATGCCAGAATTTTTGGGATGCGTTTCTCCCCTTTTAAATGAAAGTGGTTGCTCCGGGACTGATCTGCGTCAACACCTGAATTAAGATTAGTGTGTTTAAAAGTCGAATGATGATAGTAGGATCGTGTGTTTTTGTTTCGGGTACACAGCATATATCAACCGTAGGTGACTTGGTAGTTCTTTCGAACGAGGTCTTCTGGCGAATTTTACATAGGCTCAAATGTTTAGTCTGGAGCGATGTTTCTTTTGACCTGGGATAGTGTTTAGCGCACTAGAGTCATTGGCTATGATGACACTTCAGGCCGAAGCAAAAAATGGGTTTGGGTGTTGAAAGTCGATGTGGGAGGAATAAGAGGAATTAAAGAGAGATTAATTATGAATACAGTGATCTTTAGTGCTCTTAGAGGTATGAAAGAGGTTATCAGTTCCCGGTTGCCCACACCGTGGAAGGGTTCTTCTGGAGGTACCTGTAAACAAATTGGATTAGAGGTGGTCTTAGTGACCTGAGTGCGAACTTTTTGCGGGTGATTTCCGTATTAGCTCCCTACTTATTGAGACCTTACCGCCGTAGACGGACATCCGTGGTATAAGGTGAGGTGTGCATATCTAGGGTAGACCTTTTCTAACCATCCCCTCCTTGTGGGGTGGTAGTATCGTTGTTATACTGGTTGTCTGAAGGAAACACTTTACTGCCATCACACTTCCGTACAGTCAGCAGTACGACTTCGCCTTCGGATCTTGGGCTTTCTGATTTTAGTCTTACTGGTCTGGCATGTTAGAACCTTGAGGAACGAATTTTCCTGCCGTATTGCTCGGTTGCTTCATCGCAATAGGCAAGTCTGACCACCACATCAAGGTAGCAACAACAGTAGTGTAGGTCACTGGTATTCACTCATAGATATCTACGAGGCATCGCTCTTGTATGTTGGGATCACTAGGCGAGCAATGCTGAGGTTAGATGCGGGCTGGTAGGCAGACATGGTAAATCGGCTGATAAAGTTGTGAATCTGGATTGACTAAGGAGTTCGGGTATATATAACGTGTATGCCTAACCACTGCCTGCATCAAAACTCGGTGTTTTTTTATGTAGGGGTAGGTTGTAATGTATCTAGAGTTGGTCAAACCAAGACATGATATCGATCCATGGATACATTGATTGTTGGAATCGTACAAACTACCTGGTTATGATCCTCGCAATTATCATAACAAATGGTTAGAGATTTTGTATTTGACGTGGCTCAGAATCCCTATACTGATATGGTGTGACGACTTAGACTGATGCATGGAAATGTTTCATGTTCTACGTTGCTTACGATTGACTGAATAGCTTAATTTCTAACGAATCCCACCTGTGCTTGAAATAATTGAAACACAGAATGAACTTTGGGTGCACATTATTTTATAAGGATTAAAACAGATATATCCTCTCTATGTGCAAAACAAGATAGTAAATCATACGAATGTCTTTTTTCCAATGATCCGACACCCAAACAGCTTCAATAGAAGAAAGGCTTCACCATTCAAGCTAAATAAAAGTGACTATGGATAAAAAACGTCTGTATTTATGATTCATAGTAGATCTTTAACACAGGAGCATAAAGTTGTTTATTAAATTGATAGGTAACCAATAGGGTAATAATAGCCCATAAGAAAAAAAATAGTACAAAAGTGTTAACATGTATCTTAAAGACTATTGGGTCTTCCTTCTTTCTTACCTTGTCAGGTGAGACACGTGGTGTTGGTGGAATATTTTTCGACGATTTAGATGGTACCTCACAAGAAAAAGTATTCAGTTTTGTAAAAGTAAGTGTCTTTTCTTTAAAAAAAATTTCCTGAGCATAATCTCTGTTTTTATAGTTTGCATCATGGAATGGTCTCAAGTGTACAACAGTTAAGAACATTAAACAATTGTTTCGTCATGGTATGTGAATTCTCACTAGTGAGGATCCACGATCCCGTCGGTTATCGAACCCAGAACATTCAGGTCTCACGATTAGCGTGCACTCATTAGACTTTTGAACCAGCTTTCACTGGCTTACATGTCTATCTTTATTCATTTCGCAATATTGTCTAATCATCGAATATTATTGATGGGTCCTCGTTTCAACCTCCCACTGATGGCATCAATGGAAACTGCTAAGGATCGTCATACTAGAACGGAATAGTTGTCCAATAACTTTTGATTGTTCAACTAACATTATTCCATAATGTAAACTAAAAACTCCCTACGTTAATATTTACTAATTGTTTCGCCACACAATTGTATTGATTTTAGGGAAAATCTTTACTGTTGTCGTGCGAATAATTAACTTTGTTGTGGGAAAGAGCTTAAAAGGTTTACTCATATCAATTATTATCATTCAAACTTCAAAATAAATATCTTTTGAATGTGTGCAGACTGTAAATTTTAAGCTTAGTGTAGGTTTTGATGGAGTTTTGTTCTCTGAGCTGCATGGTTTGGTTATGGAGCTTTCATCATTCTTCTGGACGGCATCATCAGCACAAACTTCAGGTAGAAGTGAAGTGTTCCAATTTCTCCATATATCGCTCACAGCTTGTCCTGTAGACCTCGATGTTAACTGGTTCTTGTTGACCTTAAACCTGTCATTGTTCAGTTTTTTGTTTTGGTTGTATCTCCCATTAGTTTGACTTTTGGTCCTAAGTTAGTGCATACTTTTTCTGATTGATTGATAAATTGGATCGATTTAAATGTGCTTGTTGATTGCTGATTGACCTGAGTGCCAAGCTTCTGAAAATTCTCTGGTGTTTTGGAATTTCCTCTATGTAAGATTTCCACATTTTTCCAGTCAAATGAGTGTCCGCAGTTGTCCACATGCATTGATTTGTACGCAACACCTATTCTGAAGGTTTTCAGCAATCTCGTTGCAATTTCTGATATACCTTTTCTATATGGTAGGGTGATACTTTTGTCGATTTCTGTACTTGACTTTTTTTCTGGTGATGTGTTCGGATGGTACTTTTTGATGAAGTTGATTGGGTAGCCGTTCTTTTGAAAGACAGTCTTAAGGTATTTGTCTTCATTCTTTCGTGCTGCCAGTGTGTTGTATTGTGTCCTTGCCCTCTTGAATAGTTTGTACGCAGTTGATTTTGTGAGCTCTTGGGTTGTTGCTATGGTAGTTGAGAATTTGATATGTGTGGGTCGGCTTCCTATATGCTCCTTTATGAATCCCCCGAACCGACACAGGAAAATTGGAGACTCAAGTATATCGGAAGCTGACCCACACATATCAACAACAATGATAGATTTAAGGTAAACAAGAACCAGTTAACATCGAGGTCTACAGGACAGGCTGTGAGCGATATATGGAGAAATTGGAACACTTCTCTTCTACCTGAAGTTTGTGCTGATGATGCCGTCCAGAAGAACGATGAAAGCTCCATAACCAAACCATGCAGCTCAGAGAACAAAACTTCATCAAAATCATCCACCTGAACTATAAATCTTCTCCACCATCTCAGTGTAGGCTTCTATCCTTGACACATCTTAACTAATGTATCAACTGCTCTCATCATCCCAATATTTTGAACAAATAAGTAGTCGAAAATTGAGAAGAAAACACCAAAACTGTACTTATTTCATGGTTAGTTTTTCTCTGAGGTTGTGGAGAAGAACAAAACTCCACCAAAATCATCCACCTGAGCTACAAATCTTCTCCACCATCTCAAAATCATATGAGCGTAATACGCTTCTCGTTGTTCGAAAATGGGAGAATTTCGCTAAAAGGCAGGCTTCCACTCGAGAACAACTATATTTTCTCCATGAGTGTCTTCGCCAGCATGTTCTACCAACAAGTGTAAGATATAGACCTCCAATCAACTGCCCATTAGGATGGAAAATAGCTGAGCAAAGTGGAAGAAAAATGGTACACCTAATGATAACGGATGCACACTACAGAATCCGCAAATACCAACACGTCATAGAGGACCAAAAGATGAAACTACAAAGGACACTTACTTCAGAACACTTGGAAATCTTGACAACAGCCATCGAGATATCATGCAAACGACATAGAGAACAAAGAAGAAACGCCTTAAAGAAAAAACTAATCAAGATCTCAAAACCACCCATGGAAGAAAACACAAACAACTGCGTGATCAATCTGTCAAAACAACCACTAACAAATACGGAAGAACACCTGCTCCAAAAAGGATTAAACTACAATACAAGCGACGCCTCAAAGCTGGAGTTCTTCGCAGCACTAGAGTCATCACTCAAAACTTCCGGAATCAGTGAAGAAACACAACAGGAAATAAGGCAAACTATAGTACCGATAACTCAACAGGTGAAAGAAAACAACCAACTGACTCCACAAGAACAAAAGGCCTTGAAAGAACTCAGAAATAGAAAGGATATTGTCATAATACCAGCGGACAAAGGACGCACCACAGTAATCATGGACAAAGAAGAATACGTCAACAAAGCCGAAGAACTACTCGAAGATAAGAGCACATACAAACTGATGGACACAAATCCCGTCAAAAAATTAGACAAAGACTTTAAACAAGCTAGTCAAAGCAGGAGAAATAACAAAACAAGACCAATGGAGAATGAAATCCAGTGGACCAGTACTCCCTCGATTCTACGGCAGACCCAAAATACACAAACCAAACATTCCACTACGTCCAAAAGTAGCACTCCCCGGAACACCAACGTACAATTTGTCAAAAGAAATTTCACGAATACTGAGACATCTAGTAGATTCAGCCAAACACTCCATCAAATCCCCAACACAATTCCTGGACCAAATTAAGGACATCCAAATCAACAACGACGAACTGATGATATCCTTCGACGTGACAGCACTATTCACCTCAATTGAACCAAAATTAGCAAAAGAAACTATATCCCTGCTGCTCAACAACGACACAAACCTCACCAAATACACGAAGCTTCAAATTCAAAGTCTACAGGAACTCATCAATTTATGCCTAACAACATACTTTCAATTCAACAACAAAATCTACGAACAAACGAAAGGGACACCAATGGGATCACCAATATCAGGATTGATCGCAGAGGCAGTGATGCAAAGACTAGAAGCCGCGATATTACCAGTGATCAAACCAAAAATTTGGATTCGCTATGTAGACGACACCTTCGTCATCGTCAAAAAGAATGAACTAGAAAACACTTACAACCTGATCAACAACGTCTTCGATGACATCAAGTTCACCATGGAACAGGAGTCAAACAACCAACTAGCATTCTTGGATGTATTGATCACTAGAACCGACACAGGAAAACTGGAAACTCAGGTATATAGGAAACCGACCCATACGGATCAAATTCTCAACTACAATAGCAACAACCCCAGAGCTCACAAAATCAACTGCGTACACAATTTGTTCAAGAGGGCGAGGACACACTGCAGCACACTGGCAGCACGAAGAAATGAAGAGAAATACCTAAAGGATGTATTTCAGAAGAACGGCTACCCCATCAACTTCATCAAAAAATACCAACCGCACGCAGCATTAGAACTCAAGTCAAGCACAAAAATCAACAAAAGGATCACCCTACCATATATACAAGGAATATCAGAAACAGCGACGAGACTGCTGAAAACCTTCGGAATAGGTGTGGCACACAAACCGACAAAATCACTACAATCAATCTTATGCAAACCAAAAGATGAAATAACAAAGGAAAACAAATCAAACATCATCTACAAAATAAATTGTGCCAACTGCGAAAAACACTACATCGGACAAAGCGGACGCCCCCTTCACCTTCGCCTACATGAACATCAATTAGCAGTCAAACGGCATGATATCTCTTCACTTATATCAATACACGTGGACAACTGCGGACACTCATTCGATTGGAAAAATGTGGAAATCTTAGACAGAGGAAACTCCAAAAACACCAGAGAATTTTTAGAAGCCTGGCACTCAGGTCAATTAGCAATCAACAAGCATATTGAAATCAATCCAATTTATCAACCAATCAGAAAAATCATGCACAAACATAAAAACAAAAATCAAAACAATGGGAGACACAACCAAAACAAAGAAGTAAACAATGACAAATTTAAGGTCAATAAGAACCAATCAACGTCGAGGTGCACAGAACAAGCTTTGAGACACATATGGAGAAATTCAAACACTTCACTTCTATCTGAAGTTTGTGCTGATGATGTCGTTCAGAAGAACGATGAAAGCTCCACGACCAAACCATCCAGCTCAGAGAACAAAACTCCACCAAAATTTCTCTGAGGTTCTTCATTTGAGAAATTAGATCGTACGATGATGTTGTCGACCGACTCACCGATTTAGTGACCCAGTATCTGACTCCAGTTAGGACGAATGTTTGCTATCGAAATATACATGCCACCAAACCTCGTATACAATTGTCGACTTAAATCGCGTTATCGAATAATGGAATTAAGTATGCCAAATGTGATACTTATATTTCATACAGTCGTCAATCGAGACAGACGTTCAGAGAAACCAAGCGAAAAAGCGAAGCGAAACAAAATGATGCTCATTGGAGAAAGCTCACTCGATAATTCTGACGTTTGATTATATTTCCTTGAAAAAGCTTAGACCAGATTGCCAGGCGAAACGTTTGATTTACTTCAAATTAATTGGCTGAGATTTTACAAATACCCTCTTCCTCTTTAATGTCTCGCACCAACTCGGCACCCAAATACCGTGAAACTATTCGATGAAATTTAGACGCAAGTTCTTAAAATTCTTTCACAAGTTATCTTTTATATTGAGCTCCCAAGAATCCAAGGGGTTATTTTATAACGGCGTACAGCGTTACAATATGACTCAGTCTCCCTACAGTAAGGAGATTTTTTTCTTATGGATTCACCAAAGTAACCTATGAGGTAATCATCACAGAATAACTCATTTTTAGGAAACTACTTGCAACCTCATCACTTCTCATGTTTCTGCGTCTGTGCACAACGAAATTGTCTATAGGTTAATCTAGTTTCATCAGTTAATAGCTTCAAGAGGAGGAGCCTATTACACAGGATCTTGTTTATAGCAACTCTTAGGTCATAAAATTTGATAATTCTGGATAAATGTATTTTATTAATAGCATAGTAAAAAAAGTCACTGTCTTCAATATATGTCATATCTCCAATTCTCATTGCAACAGATATGTTAGTGTTGTTTCTAGTAACCATTAATTTTTCTACTCGACCGGGGGTTCGTGGTCGATTTGTAATCTTATTCCTTTTATTTGGACAGTTTTTACGAACTTCCTATAACCCCAGACCGACCATATACCTGAAAAAAGCGTATGAGCTCACTTCATGTTTAGTTCATGTATGGAGAATCGACTGTATTTATAGAGTTACACGTGGCCTTGATCTTCTAGAACTTTCTGGAAACATACTAAATATAGTAACGATGTACTCAATCATCTAATCAAAATTGTGCTAGATGATTTTCCGTTACCTAGATATTTCGGAGATACTTCTTTTCAACACTAGCTGGATAAAATGCTTCAAGATGTTTTATAGGTTGTTGAAGTGTTTGATGAAGGATATTTTATGGAATCCTCAACACTGTTAAAGTAATTATCGACTGTTTCAGTGACTAAAAGTGTTTAAAGAGATTTTCATATTAAATTATGCAATACATACTTGCGCGTGTTACTCCCAGTGGAGAATAGGCCGCCGACCAGCATTCTACAAACCACTCTGTCTTGAGCCGTCTTTTCTAGTTCTATACAATTGTTGTTCATTTTTCTCATATATGTCTTCATTTTTCGGCGTAATGTGTTCTTTGATCTTCCTCCTCTCCTTTGACCTTGAGAATTCCGTGTTGAGGGCTTGCCTTGTGACGCATTTGGGTGCTTTCCTCAATGCAATGTATGTCCTCATTAAAAAAAAGGCGCTAACTAGAAAAACTAATTCGAATTATGCAATAAACTAATTGTAAATAAAACACTATTTCTCCATGCCTTTTGATTTATTGTTTCTAGTCGTGTGCTGAAGCAATCATTCCAGCTTACCTACCGATTGTTGAAAAACGAAAGCATTTAAAGTATACTAACAAAGAACGGTAAATCTTACTTGTAACATACTATTTTAAGTGAAAATATTCTTTACATAAATGTGTTTATATATATCAGTTCTCGGATAACTCTCTTACGGAATTATGTAATATACAGTGTAGCTCATTTATCAAGTACCATTTTAAGTACTCGGTTTGTTTAATGCATATTTTAATTATCAATATAAGGTTGTGTAGATTACTAAGTTTTTGATTGAGATCATGAACCAATTGATGTTAGACCACTATTGAGAACATGGAAGTACTGGACAGCCATTTTGTCCTATTGTGGGTTCGAATCCCGCGAGCGGGATTGTGGATGCGCACTGCTGAGGAGTCCTAGAAAAGGACGAAACAGCCATCGAGTGCTTCCACGTTTTTCATGGTGGTCTAACATCAATCAATTCATGATCTCAATCAAAAACATATTTAAATTGTTTATCACGAATTATAGATATTGCTGGAACATTTTGTTCTACTTTATGAATGTGAAACGGTCATTAAGAGTTATGAATATTCTCACACTACTAGTAAGTGTCTTCAAAGTATTGCTCGTGTATTTTGGGACCAAGTTTATGCGTAGGATACTAGGTAAATATGTCGAATCGGTTGATGAGGTAGTGAATGTCCATCAAATGAGATGCTTAGAACATGTGTTACATATACCAGACTATTTCCTATCTTGACGGGTGATGTTGTCAAGTAGTTTTAAAGAAAACTGAAAATGACCAATCCAAGACTTGGATTCGTTGACTGTTGAATTAAGCCTTATAGTTAGGTATAGACTAAATGGTTTGTGTCTATGTGATTATGGTAACCCACAATTAGAATTTGTGTGTCGTTGCTCAGAATCAATAGTGCAGGTTTACTCACTCCTTGTTTTGTTTTAGAATTTGAGTTCAGAAATCCTATCATACGTTTTTTTCCATTTTCTGTAGCTAATCCCTTTTTTTACTGTTACTTATAACTATTGCCACTTCTACTACTCTGGGATTTGTAGTAAAATCATTCTATCTTACTGTGCTAACATGGTGTGGGGTAATTTAAACTGATACGCTTGTGTTAGATTCTACTCTACATATGACTAAATGACTGGGTAAACCAAAATAAGTAAGATGAAATCTAAACTTTTAACTCAGTAATTTAACACTTAAAAATATTACTGGCATCTGCTGGAATCAACGGGTAAGTATTAGTGAGGCTAGGAGAGCAGGATATTAGGGGATGTTGGTATATCAGTTGATGAGGCTGTGAATCTTCATCGACTGATATGGTTGGGTCACGTGTTGTGTTGCGTATGCCTGAACACCGATTACCACGACGTGCAATGCCAACTGGTGTTGGGGATCGTTGGAAGCAAGTTAGGGGCGGCAAACCAAAACGTGGCATCAGTGCTTGAAGTCACTAAGTTCTGGTCTGAGCCATGTTGGTAGATGCAGACTACTTGTTTGTGGTCCGCCTGACTATCGTAACCATTGCTTGGAGACTCTTGGCGTCATGGCTCAGAATGGTGTAGGTGTATACACTCTTTGTCTTTTGTTAAACTGTGAGATGAAAATCGCTTCATATCTTTATCTCTACGAAATAATTCTTTCTTCCTGTACTATATCCTTATACGCAATCTTTTATATATTACCACCATTGACTTAACTACCCCTATGAATTCGGTGTTCATCTTGTTGTGCTAATGCGGTATGGCAACTTGGACCGATGCATATATGTGCCTGGTCTTACGTTGTAGCTGACTGACTGACTGGTGCTGATGTGATATGACAACTTGAACCGATATGCCAAGTTTTATGTTGATAATTACTGATTCAGTGAGGAATTCAATGATCTCATACACTTCATTAAATCATAAATGAATCATCCAATTTCATTACATGTTTGTGTGTGTTATTTATTCTACCGGTAAATTTATTGATTGTTCCTTACTTATATCTTCTTACCTTTTATTTGCCAGTGAATGGCAGTTGGTAAGACGTGGACGTTATGTTGAATTCAATTTAATCTATGATCGTGGCACTAAATTTGGTCTAGCCACTCCAGAAGCTCGTATTGAAAGTATTTTAATGTCTTTACCACGTTATGCTGTAAGTTGGAAGTTAATTTACTATTTTCTCTGTCTTGTCAATTATTTCATGTGATTTTGACGTTTATTATCATTAGGCTTGACCACTGACTCCAGATCACAGTACATATAGTTTAATATTGAATAGTTAGTTTTCTACTAGTCGGTATACTACTCATTAAGAGGGAGGATAAGTCTACTTTTATTAAGAAGTTGAATGACACAAGTTTTGTAAGTAGACACATTCTGCTGATAAGTAGTAGTAGTAGTGCGTATAACATTTAATGGATATCATATTCAATTTCAGATGTTTGGGTGCTTTTTTCGCTCATCAGTATAGCGAGTTTCTTACGCACATCACTCACTGTTTCAGTCAAACATGTTATCGCTGAGTAGTTCGGTATGTAATTGTGCTCTTATAGGTCTGGGATATATATTGACACTGGTTAATCAGTCGACGTTTGTTAACCAATTTATTTCAATCGGGATTTAGCATGAGTTCTTTTATATGTTTCCCAACACTTTTCTCGAATTTAATTATGCCGGAATTTTCGAGGATTGAGTTATAGACGTTTCACTGGACACATTTTCCCATCCTTGTGATAAAAGATGTCTCCTCTCGGATGTGATTTCCTAGCGGGTTGTTAATTTGTTCGTCTTCATTTCAATGGTATCAAGATGTACGTCCAAGGGTAATTGCATTTATTATTTGTTCTCATCTAATCCACATGTCTCTTCCAATTTGTACTTTGTACATCACAGACTGTTGTCTCTTGACGATTATCCTAGGAGGACACTAACAGTGTTATAGAGTAATTCTAGCATTTAAAATGCGCTCATATAGTTGAACTAGGTGTTATGAGACTCATATTCTAAATGCCCCCAAATGCCCTGGTACAGCCGAGAGTGGGGTGGGCCCCCCTCCCTCTGGAAATGCTCTCACACAGCCACGCGTATACAGCCTCTGCCAGGGAAGTCCTACTCACTGCCTTCTCGTGGTGGGGGTGTTGTTTACGAAATCGAGAGGACGAAAGGCAAATGTCCGACGATTTAACCGGATTCCAAACCAATGGTGCACATGGGCTTCAGTATCCTGCGGGAGCAAATGGCGTATGAACCAATTGTTGGTCACCGGCTACCACGGTACTGCATCTCCTCACGATGCTCCACTGCCTTGTGGGTCAGACCTTTAGGTCAAAGGCTCGGGGTGTGGCCCCCTATGAAAATCACCTGCTTCGGTCTGGGCACCCGGGCAGTATCCCAGCCGTCACACAAATCGAATGATCTATTTGGTGCCTCCTTGTGTTAATGTTTATATGTTTAAATAAATAAATAACATATTCTAAATGGTCTGTTCCGAATTACATTCTACATAATTATATAAAAACCTGCACGTTTTTCTCCGTATTATCATCGGGTAAAGCGGGACAAACCATTGGTTTTCTTCTGTATTTTCAGTGGCTGCGAGTGGTTGTATGGAAAGCCATCAGGAGCATTGTTCCCAAGTAGCTAGCAAGGAGACGTAATAGAAACCAAGTTGAGAATCATGATGGTGCCCTGTAGCATTGTCAGTTTGATGGTGGTTATGTATGATGAACAGTTAAAATAGGAATTTTCATTACTAATTTATAACTGAACGTTTGAAAATGTGATATTTCCCTGACCGGTTGATCGTATGAACAAATATATGGAATAACAAAGTTTCTGAACTTGCCCTTAGTATGGTAGACGGAACAAAACATGTTTTAGTTTGAAACTTACCACTAGCTAGTATGCATTCAAAGATTGACTACAATTGGAAATGCTGCTAACCACACGACCTAAAAAGTGTATCACCCTCAATGTGAGATGAGATAAATATCCTGAACATATTTCTGTGATGAGTAGTAATTCATAGATGTATGTCGATGAACAGTTCTAAAATAAGGAGCACTTTGATTTTTATTTATTTAATCGCAAACAGTTATACAAGTAGGCACAACTAGATATGCGCCGCACAAGTCACTTGACCTGTGTGTGGGCTGTGATACTGCCCGAGTGCCCAGACCGAAGCAGGTAGTTTTCTTGGGGACTATACCGGAGCCTTCGACCTAAAAATCTAATACACAAGGCGGGGGAACCACGTCAGGAGATGCAGTCCAATGGTAGCCAGTGACCAACGATTGGTTCATACGCCAATTGTTTCCTTAGGATACTGAAACCCATGTGCACCATTAGTTTGGAATGAGGGTTTTCCAACTCCCGTAGGTGGATCCTCCATATCCACCAACTCAGGTAAAGAGCAGGACATTCGCTTTTCATTCTCTAAATTTCGTAAGAATCACCTAGTGGTTAGAAAGCAGTGAGTAGGACTTCGCTGTCAGTGGCTGTATACACGTTGCCGTTTGAAAGCATTTCGAAATCGAGAGCTGACTCTCCCCACTCTCGACCGTACCAGGGCATTTGGGGGCTAAAAATAGAGAGTAAATAACTGTTCAGAGCGTTGAAGAATGTTTTCTTTCTCTTCATTCGCTGATTTTAAGTTTTCTCTTTCTTTATTCCTAACATTATCATTATCATTATTATTGTTATTTTAGCAATGGAACTATTGTTATGACAATTCACAGGATCCACGTAATCAATCACTCATTGAGGTGCTTAAAAATCCTAAAGAATGGGTTTAAATATGATAATGTAAATTCTTTTCTTTTAAACATTCATTACACTGTTGTATAAAGTTTTACTTCTTACAATTTTATCTCTTTATTCTACCTCTATATTTATTCATGTATATCATTAATTAGTTTATATTGTATTGTGATATGTACTTATGAATGTAGAACACATGAATAGGTGTCTGTCTTTTATTTTCATGTTGGTTTAGTAGTCGATTGGATCCAACTTATTGTACAATGTTGTGATGTTTGTTAATGAAAGTTAATATTTATTCAAACATCACTCGTTTTTTGTTGTTGTAATTGGGATCATAAGTTTGAGTACTGGAGTTTAACACAACTTTCCTAGTTTAACTCTCCCGATCGTTGTTGCTACCTGGATATGGTGGTCGGGCTTGCCTATTGTAATGAATCAATCGAGCTATATTGGCTGAAACAATCGTTCTTCGATGTCCTACTGTTTTTGGGACATAGATTGGATTAAAGCATACTCAATGCATGATTGCTTTGGCGCATGCTGATTGGATAAGAATTAGCCAGTCAGCGGTAGTCGATACTTGGAGAATACTCTAGAATACTTTAGAATCTTCTCATATAGCAAAACTATAAATATACTAATGTTTTTCCTAGTGTGCTTCTTACTTCCATCTAACCTTGTTATTTGGAATATAATCTTTCCTGTTCAGCCGTGTTCTGATTTGGGGACTTGTCGAGTGAATTGGTGTCCGGGAATACTAGGTAATAGGAATAGCTGGGTTGTAATAAGAGAGAATTATGACACCTATCACGCCAGATAGATCGATTGAAGACCGGTAAAACTAAAAGCAGAAAACTCAAGGTCCGAAGGCGAAGTCGTACTACAGACTGTACAGAAGTGTGATGGCAGTAACGTGTTTTTCTTCAGACAACCAGTATAACAACCATACTACCTTCCCAGAAGGAGGGGTGTGGTTAGGAAAGGCCTACCCTAGAAATGCAAATTTCACCTTGTCCCACGGATATCCGTCTCCGGCGTTAAGGTCTCAACAGGTGGGGAGCTAACACAAAGATTACCCACAAAACGTTCGTGTGTGACTAACCTGAAGCTGTTGTTACTTGGGCACTGTGGTCACACTCTCAGGTCACTAAGATCACCTCTAAACCAATTTCTTTTTCAGTTACCTCCAGAAGAACCCTTCCGCGGTATGGACAACCGGAAAGTGATGACCTCTCTCATACGTCTAAGAGCACTCAAGAACAATGTATTCATAATTAATCTCCCTCTTTAATTCCTATTATTCCTCCTACGTCGACTCTCAACACTGACTGACTAGTTTAACTCTACTGTAAAAGCCCCTCTTCTATGTGTGAAGCCCCACTGATTAGAAACGTCTTTTTTTCGAAAAAGGTTGCATATATTAGGAGATTTTGTAAAAGGAATAGTTAGTGAACTCTTTTCATTCATACACTAGAGAACAATCACGAACTGAGTAATGAGTATTAAAATAAAGAATTAACCGGATTTCTATATTTCTTGACAGTTTTTGGCAGTAATACTTGTAAATTGTCTTTAACCATAACCTCTTGTTTTGCTTTGATATCACAAAATCTTTTCTCATTTATTCTCGATTACTGTGAAACATTAATCATGGATGAATACTTTACTGGTAAAGATCAAAGGATGTTGATTTAGACAAGCAGTACAACCTGTCTATACATGTGTGTTGACCATGAATATACGGCATTTGTTATTCGTTCATCAAGTATAATTTAGTGTCTTGTTCTTAGCTTGTCGTTGAGTTCATTTATCTTAATGACACTCGTTTGGCAACATGACAATAAAAATCAGGAAGCTCATTATGTCTTGCAAATTCCTATCTGAACACTTATAACTAATTGCTATGCGTTGGCTGGGAAAACTGTTTTAGTCAAACGAAAAATGAAATAATCGTTATAATTCGTTTGCATTGCTTGTTTGAATTCTCTCACTGATGTTTAGTTCTGCATTTCATCAGTCTTATTTTTTCAACATAACACATATATACATACACTTGGTAACTATTCATTTCAATTTACAACCCACCACCCACTACTGTACAAGTGTATGCCATGGTGCTGATAACAACGACAATATTACAGAATGTCTTAGTAATATCTGATAACCATACAGTAAATCCTAAATTTACAAAATGTCCATCAATTGTCTCACATTTCGCTGTTCCTTCGTTCCCATATCAATCACTCTGTTCTCGTTCTCTTGTCTTCGATCTTCATAACCTTCTGCCACTAGATATTATGAAAGAATACAATAGTTGCGTACTACATCTTCAGAACTCAAAATATCAAATCTGCAATGCAGGTACATCTAGCCGACTGGTCCCAAATAGGACAAATCGTGCTTCCTGCACTCCACTACTAGCCACCATCCATCTTCGATTATAATTTCTCCTTATGTTTAAAACCTTCATATCTTCCAGTGAATATGTTATGTTTGGACTAATGAGTGAATAGAAAGACATGATATGTGTTTAGTATTTAGTCCTTTGTTTAACACGAAATGATGCGATTTTGATTTCAATACTGAGAATCGGTTTTGTCCAGGTTGTAAATCTATATATCCTATCAATTATCTTTAAATTTCATATAGATCAACCGACAACGAACTGCATTCAGGGATGGACATTAGAAAGTATTTAAGTGGCGAAACGTCATTTGGCATCATTTATGGTCATTGTCATATGGAACCTTCAGCTCTACATAGCAATGTAACTTATACAGCATACCACACATATGTAGGGTAGTAAACGAAATAGCTCAGCCTGAAGCGATAGGGCTTGAAGAACGCTTAAAACCTATTGTCTACTGTCGGATTACTATTACAAGACCTCCAAGATCATTTTCATCGCATTTGCGAGATTTTCATTTGTCCGACTTTTCAGACCGAAAGTTAGGGGTAGTATAGGGATACTACATGACGAGTAAGAGCTGATGTAAATCGTCAAGCACAAATCTCAATGCACCTGTACATATTATACATCACTCAATTGGATAAGTAACACGAAGAACGTCCCATTGAAAAATATTAATCCGTTCAAAAGTTATGAAAGAAAATATGACCCGGAAACATCCTATAGAAATGCCCGAGACAGACAATTTCGTCAACACACGTTTGACTATAACTTCCGAACGGCTCAACCGACCTCGCTCATTGGTTTTCTGTGGGATTTCTCTTGCAAATATCTGTTATGTAGGAAAATGTGTCACGGAAACAATCTATGGAAAGTCCACGCGTCAGAATCCTATAGAAATACCCGAGACATCGAATTTACTTAATAATAGTCAAAATTATGCATTTATGTTTATGTGTGTTTGTGTTTTAGAAAAGTGACTGGTGAAATATCGAGCTGAACATCAGTGCGAATATTCAAACTGTAAATAAAAATTAATTATCCTAACTGTTTCATTGTTTACCCAAATGATTTTGTCCAGTCCATATATAGAAATGTGTTACAATTGTTGTGATGGATATTTGCAAGAGAAATCGAATACTCAATGAACGAATGAAATCGGTTGACCCGTTCAAAAGTGTGTTCACGACATTGGCTTTCTCAGATTTTCACTCGTTTCTTGTGAACTGATATTCTCCATTTTGAACACTTCAGAATGTTCAGGTCGTTTCCTGTAGACAATTTTACATCCATTGTAATCATCTTCCACTTAGTTTAGAAGTATGAGATTGCCATGTTGTAAGTGTTAATAGTGCTTGGTTGCAGACATTTAGGAAAACTTCTCGTGTGTGTAGAACAGTTTCTTGCTTATGAGCAGAACACAATAACAGTTCTTCTGAAGTTTGTCTTCTCTTGTCCAAACTGTGTCCATTCAGCTTCACTCAGCCTGATTGTATGTTTCCATTTAAACTATTAACTAAATACCCTTCTCAGTCTCCTACCATCGCGGCGAATTCTCTCCAATTAAAGTAACTGCTTCTCTGGTTGTCCTAATGAGTATCGCCATCGTGACCTTATAGGAGTTCCGATTTTCATCATGAAGCGTCATTTTCATAGAATATGAAAACTCTCCAACTGTCAGGACACAGTTTCAATGATTTTAATGATTGTTTCTGTTCAGTTTTTTACTGACGTTGTTAGATAATTGTTATTAGGTAGTAATAGAATGACAACGAAATCTATGAAAGAAGCTTTTCTGTAAATATCTAATTCGTGTGACCAGTGAATAACCTTGCTTACGAGTGGGAAGAAGATTTACAATCACAGCTAGAAAGTTTCGGTAACATCAATGACATCTTTCACCAACAGATAAAGAAGTTAGTTTACCATCATATGGATTTGAAGTTGCATTTAACCTTTATCATGCTGAATGATTAACTGACCGTTGATTGGGTGCATTATGAGGACCTCCACGTGTGACTGGAAACAAGGAATACACTCCACAGCAGTTTAAACGAACTTTTAAGGAGAGAAGCGGAAGCGCGTGAATGCTAGTCAACTAAATGTATTGTTTCAACAGCATCATGAGGGCGAGCCACGAAAAGCGACAAGGAATACAGCGATACGGTAATCGGGACGACTGGGAGAAAAGTTTAATTAAATGGGGAGCGAGTGTGGTGCGTGCTACTTATATCGACAGATATAAGTAGTATGTAAAAACGATCAGAAGTGGAAGGTTCATCAAAGAAAGTTGAGAAGACTGAACTAAGGAAAAAAGTTAAAGTTGAAAAGTGGAAGGATGATGATGGATATCAAAGACAATAGATGTACAACTTACAAATAAAGTATTTAATGTATGGTTCTCTGATCTCAACTTTGCCTGGAGCCCCTCCGTGGGCTACTGGCGGTCACAAGCTCGGTTAAAGGAGGATGGTTGGGCATGGGGTTAGCGACCCTATCCTGTAGAAAACTAACTCTCTAAACAAACGCTAACCAGAAAGAACAATTCAAACCACTTAAACTCTGTCCTGGGATTCAGAAGGTCTTCATTTAGAAGAGTTATGACGCCTCATGATGAAAACC